ATATATATAATTACATATTTCAATAGTATGCTACATTATAAACATAGATCAACAAATAAAAACATTTTATATTCAGCGTAATTGAAAAATTCTTTAGAAGAAAACATCAAGTCGGCTGGAAATTATATCCGGAGGAAAATCCTACGTGCACCTCTTAGAAGTATTACTACTATAGAAAATCCAAACTGTCTGCTGCCCCTTGCGTAACCAAAGCGATAGCGGCAGGAGGTGCACTAATGCTTGCACAAGCTCTCAATTCTGATTATCAAGAATTTTAGAGGGACAAAGTAAAGTGAACTGCTCACAGTTCTCTAATACTATTGCTTCTTAGAATTCATTAAAGGAAAAGAGCAATAGTTGTAAATAGCATGTTCGTTTTTAATTTCTCTTGAAATTTTGAAATGTTAACTTTTTGCAATTTTCGAAAAAAACGGGGAGTTATTCGAAAATGCGTCTAGCACCACATTTATTTACAGTTCCATGATACATAGAAAAAGGAAAAAAATGGGACTGTGTATTGAGATAAAAATTGTTTAAAAAAATTAAAATCTCCTATACTTTGCCCAAAAATAAAAAAAACTACACGTATTTAGGAAAAAATGAACGACCTTATTTCAGGATCTGTCTTTAAAAAACAGATTTCATGAAGGAAAAATATCCGTCTTCAATATTGTAGTTGTAGGAAGACGCCCAAAAAACTTGCACTTTCCAAAAAATCTGGGATTTAAACGAACAGGGGACTTGTACCATTTATCTTAAGCATCCTTTACTCTATCCTAGACAAAATTTAATTAAAAAATTGGCTCCATTTTTGAGAAAATTTTGAAAATATTTTAAGGCTTCTTAAAAAGTACCCTCAAAAATAAAAATATCCGTTTTAAACTTCCAAAGTATGGAGTTCGTTAGCGTTGACCACAGACGGGCAGACAGACGTTTTGCCGTCAATCAATTTTTCTGTACCAAGGTCCCACAAATTATGGATTCTGGCTACACTACGTGTTAGAAGGAGTAATTTAGAGGAGACGGAGGTAATATGAGCTCCCACTTTTATTTTGACTTAAAAAAAATACATTAAATGTCTTCAAAAATACAACTTATTATTAACTTTCTTAACTGCTCAGAAAGTTGGTAACCAAATCCATAATTCGAAAAAAATCATACTTGCGGGGGGTGGTTAATTATGTGCAGGTATTATGAACCACCTTAATATACCAATGAATGTTTCAAATGTATCAATGTTTAAATAAACAAATTACATATTTACATATGCAAATGCTATTTTATTACACAAAATTGCAAAATTAAAAAAAACATTCACAAAAATCAAAATTAAATGTCATTTTCGCTACTAGCACATTGTGTGCCCACATTTCACATATAGATTTAGATTTATTTAGTAAAAAAAAAGCAGTAAAAAACTGTACGTGACTTATAAGGGAGGAGATAATCTGCGCACGTTTTCTTGAGTTCCAGAATCCCTTCCCATCATTTTAACTACAAAGAGTAGAAATACGAATAAAAGTTAAAAATAATAATAATAATAATAATAATAATAATAATAATAATAATAATAATAACAATAATGACAATAATGATAAGGAAACTTGTCGAATTGTTCTCATGATTCTAAATGTATAAAGCTAGAAATGTGGTTTGCGTAAAGACAACTCTAACCTAGAACGCCAGAAAAAATCCCGGAAATAGAAAAATAATAACAACAATAATATTACATATTATACAAGACAGCACTCCACCGCAAGGTGTTACGCTGCATTGCATTGCAATGAATTGGCACTGTTCTGCACTGCACTGCACGTACTGCACTGCTCATGTTTCAAAACACTTCGACGCACATGACAAAGCCACTGAATAGCATTATTATTTATATATATTAAGTATTTATAGTGAATGTCCAACGTCTCTTCATTCGTTATTAACAAAATAATTATAACGTAATACTCAAACTACGGACATTGCGAGGGAAAAAAACAAAATAGTTGCAGGAAAACTGTTCCAAAATTTTATTGTTCTATTAACGAATAAGAAGTGGAAGAGCGATAGACATTACTAATGATTCAATTTCTTCCTGTGACGGGATGTATTGTTAGATTCTTCATGAGTAGCTCAATGACACCATGTAATCCCTGAAGAGAACTGATTTTGATTTTAGATGAAAAGTGATGCTTTTAATATAAAATAAAACACAATTTCAACCGTCTGTTACCAACAGACGCGGCCTTAGGTGAATAAAAACATTCCGAAGAATACATTTTTATTTATTTATTTATTTATTTATTTATTTATTTATTTATTTATTTATTTATTTATTTATTTATTTATTTTTTATTTATTTATTTATTTATTTATTTATTTATTTATTTATTTATTTAATTTTGTTTCTAGGCACGTCATCTGTCTATAGCTCGACCTTCCATCTGCTAATGTATGATGTAGTGTAGTGTATATAAGTGTAGGTGTGTGTAACGAAGGGATGAGGATAGGTCAAGGAAGAGGAATGAAAGATCGCGCGCGGTCCGTGACCTGATTGATGGTATTGCTCTCGAATTCGCCTGATACTGACCGGAGAAACCATCGAAAATTACTGGTCAGAGCAGCCGGCCGTTAGAATTCGCTTCTAGACAGCAACCTAGGACTCCCGATCAGAGGCACTGCAGTGACATCAATTGATGCCCTGGGACACCTAAGCAGGTATTAGAACATTCAGCTGTAATGTGCAATTCCTGTTACCACATTAATTGGTCACCTCTCTCCATTTACGTCCCATTTTTACAGGAACCATAAATATTTTCTTAAGACACGTTTCTGTTTCCTTTCTGATTATACTTTAAGTATAAGAAAAAGATAAGCATGATGAGACGCCACGTAAAATAAGGCAAATTCAATTCAATTCAATGAGAAGATGATGGAAAGAAGACATAGAAGACTAAGAAGACAAAGAAGAAAAAGAAAAAAGCAGAAGAAAAGAAAGAAGAATAAAAGAAGGAAAAGAGAAGATGTAAAGAATATTATTCAATGTTGATATGTATTTATCTGAGTACATTCTTCACAAGCTTTAGTTTTTAGGCAACCATTGTTTTAACAGGTACAATAACCAGCCATTGAATCTACACCGATCACGTAATTGTACACCATATGAAGGCGATCGGATAAAATCAAACGAATTACTTTAAAAACTGATATAAATTAAAAACACAAACATTAATATGACATTTTTAGTATTGAAGGTCAGGCTTCCCATAAATCACAACAGAGATGTATTTCGTTAACTTTAATATCTGTGGGCGCCATAAATAATTTTTCTCCAGTAGTTTTGAAAGACAATGACTCATCGTGTATTCTGGATCATGATTTGGAATGTCTTAATGCTGTGTATTACCAAGAGTGTTCCGTGTCTTAAAACGTCCCTAAAACATAGTTGACTCTCGTTGAACACAATAATACCATTACGATTAAATTACTATAATTATAACCCAAATTGCCGCCATTAGAAAGGGCGATTTGTCATATTAAAATGAAGCGGAAAATATATTTTCCTTCCAGGCAATTTATTTTTAAATTCAGAAAGATAATAATGATTCTTAGTAATTTGCAGACAGAAAGTAACAATTACCTCTACAAGTCATACATTTATGGAGTGCGAACGAGTTCACACTTCTCTCTATAACAACTGGCACCTAAAATACAGGCCTTAGAGTATAGTCTGTGGATTGATATTTTGTGAAACACTGTTACATTTGCAAATGAGTGATA